TCGAAACTGCCAGACGCGGATCGCGATTTCGATCTTTTTGGATCTCATCAGCACGTCGCAGGCAGCTCCGACAGAACACAGACCAACTTTTACCTGATGTCTTTTATTCAATTATGGTAACGTGCCTATTACGTTGAGGTTAGCTACGCCGGGATTCGTTTCAGCAAGTAGATATCTATATATTTAAATGGACCTTGTTGGAGCATACATAATCCTAAAATGCAGCATCGAACTACAGATGGCGTTTGTGGTATTTTCTAAAACGCGCTGTTAAGACAACAGGTAAAAGTTGGTCTGTGTTCTGTCGGAGCTATCTGCGACGCGTTGATGAGATCCAAAAAGATCGAAATCGCGATCCGCCTCTGGCAGTTTCGACAGAATACAGACCACTTCGAATTTAACTTAAATATAATGATATACATATAACATTCACAATCTTACAATGCGTGTTACCAGAGCAAACCAAACGATAGTACGAATTTTACAAACTGATAAAGAATGTGTTAACACCCCTCGCTTTGGACTTGTTAAGATGCTTTTAAATCGCATGAACTACAACAGTAAGATTTAAAGTTGCTGTAATTTTGTTTCTTACAATGTTTCCGCAAGTTTTGTCCTAAATCTTTGCGACAGTCAGCATTCTCTGCTTAAAATTCTAAATGAGAGTATCTATTACATTTTCACTTCCTTTTTAAAAAAATATACAATATTACCCAAATGTTTGTACTGTAACATTTCTCTTCAACCATTGCAACTAAATCTAAACATTGCAATTTTACTGTTGAAGTAAATGTGAAACAGCAGATAATGAATAGACCTTTAAAATTTATAAAAAACTGACGACCCCACGTAAAATAATAATAGCAACGATGAACACACTATCAAGATACACTTTGTACACTGTGTAGCACTATAAAGTGAAAAATTGGACGATTCGGGAGAGGTATAAACATATAAGTGTGCATTCTTTACTGTGGTACGAGGAAAAAGCGAGAATTCTGCATACTGTACTTATTTGTAGCAATAAGCATAATGGCCTCTCGATAGCGCCCTGTCTCACGCTAACAACCCTCTTGTGCATTCTATTCCTATTTATTTAAGGGAACTGTTACATATCTCGTTGCAGTCACGCCCATAGACTAAGTAGATAAACTACGCATTATGAATCAAGGATTAGGAACGTAATTACTTTTTAAAAAATGTAAAGTCTAAAAAACAGTTAAGTGATTCAGCTTTGCGCATTTTTAAAAGGTCATTTGGAATACGTTCGGTAAGCCCGAAACCTTAAACATAATTTTTATTATTGACTTTTAAGAAATAATACGTAGACAATATTTTTTTTATGAGGATTTAAATGACACTATTACCACAAAAGGAATGGTCAAAATTCGAAAATAATGAATTTTGACGAAAAATGACATGGTAACCCTTCCTCACCTTGTTATTTTTCAACTATCCCCCTTGCCACTTCTTATTCCCATTAAAGATAAAAAATTTCAAGGGAAATCGTTTTCAGAGGTCAAAAAGAAATTGCTGGAAGTTTTTAAAAGTATTAGTTCAGGCAAATATGTAACATGGAAAACCGCAATTCTTGAAAAATTCTATGTAGTTGGCTTTTACTATATGAAAGTTGATCATATTGATTTTTCTTTTGAAATAAAACACTTGAAAAATAACTTTCACTAAATATATTTACATTGAATTGAAGATATAATACCTTCTTCCGAAGATGACCTTGTAGGTTGAAACGAATTTGTCAAGCTTCAATATAAATATATTTAGTGAAAGTTATTTTTCAAGTGTTTTATTTCAAAAGCAAAATCAATGGAAAACCGCTAGGAGAACTGCGTATCATGGAATAAACGGTCGCTACTTTGAAGATATTTTAAAGATATTATCTTAAACGAAAGATAATTTAATAAGTAATTCTCCTCTTTTCTTGTATGGTCCTGGTTTTAAATTCAAATTACCACTGTTAAAAATGACAATATAATTCTAGGAATTCCGTCCGTCATCATTTCAGTTTCGACGAGCGTCAAGTAAAATGTCGAGCAATCTTAAGGTGTTTTCTGCTTGCTGATTTTGATGCATAGACTTCATTATGTTTTACGAAAAAGGGACGCCTAGCGGTGACGACCGAGCGAAGACGACTGAAATGTGACGCGCCGTCTATCGCGCCGGTGGCGTCGCGACGCCAGGTCTTCGCTGGAAAAACCTTGTTGGTCCGTTACTTCGACACAATCAGTTAGATTGCGGTAGCTTCGTAGTCGTTCCGCTCGCCGCCTTTTACAATCGCGCGTGCAACACGTGTTATCGATAGTCGATAGTTTTTAGTGGCAATAAGTGGAATTTTCTTGTGTATTATTAGGAAAATGACAAAATAACGTCTCTTGCTCTTAAAATTTAACAACTGTGGTAAATTACCCATTACGTTTTCTTTTTTTTTGATCTCATAAAATTATCAAATCTGCTTGTAATTCATACCTGAAGAGGATACCTTTAAATGTAAATTTTGTAACCTTTTTCACAAGGTTATCCATATTTCTAGGAACTTATATTTTTTCATAGTAATTCGTCTAATATGGTCTTTTACTTTTTTGAGGTTTTAACAAAACTTGAATACATTCATACACTATATCGATATATAATTTATGAACATCTAGTTCGTGTTGTACTTAATATAATAATAAATACTTCTCTTTTACCAAGGTAGAAAGCTGCACGCAACACTGTGTTCTGTTATGTAGATCACCCTTTAATCGGTAGCGGTATTTCCCTTTTTCATAATGATAACAATTACGAAGATGAATTGCCATTCACAATATGTTATATAGAACGAAAACGTTTATACTCTTTAATAGTTGAGCAAAATAAAAGCGAAAATCGTAATCGAGTAGTTTCAAGTCCAATTTTAGTCAACGCTGACGATATCGTGAGTCACTTTTTAAGACCACATTTAATAAAATTAATAAGTAAAATAATTAATAAAAGCAACTTTGCATGAAAAATTATCGCAACGGTGTCACCAGCAAAATAAAGTTAAGTACACAAAAAAAGGAATTTCCCTACTTTATCGCCGTAAATTAATCTTTAAGTTATATTGGATTTTCACGGTACATTAAGTACGCTTTTGGAACAATCTTTCAAAACTTATATTGAGAAGGTGTGCGTATTTTTATTACATTAAAATTTGTATTTCCCCGTTAAAAAAGTCCGATGTTGTACATTTCAACATTAAAATAAAATATCGCAGACTTATGAATACTTAAAATGAAAAAAAGGTAAAATAAAAATGTATTTGAATAATTTCATCAAACTGATCAATCGATAGGTATGAGGTAAATCGATTGTGTGACTCAAAGCTGTAATATAATTCATTACACTATTTGTGTGTCATACACGTGACCGTCTTTGGATAATAAATAAATTATTGTTTGAGTTTCATGCTATATTGCATCAAAGATTTGCAAGTTATTGCATCAATTCTTAAAAACAAAAGAAGTACGTAGAAAAGGCTGAGAATACAACGCGTTCATAATGCCTTAGTACTAATTTAGTTTCTTAGTTTATTTATTTTAAGTCAATTAATTAGGTAATAGCAGAATATGCATAAGTACACTTTTAAATCTGTGACTAATGATGAATTATAGCACAATTTGTTAATAAAATCAGTTGTAGTTGATGGTATTAAATTAAAATTGAAGTATTATATTACAAACATACCAGTGCATAATGTGCTTTTATTTTGTACTGAAGATACATAGCTACTAGATTTTTTATACATATCTAATGAATGGGCATATAACCGTATATCTTGGAAGTAATGTTAAATCAAATAATTTAATTAATTGAGTCTGGAAAAACCTATATAGTTAGTAATTTAACTACTTAATTGATTTTTGATGCTGGTTTGTTTGGAAACTTTTTTTATATCTATTTAACTAATTTAATTTTCCCTTCATTATACACTGTATAAATAAATGCGAGTATAAACTGAATGAAATTGTGGAGAGCGTTTTCTACTAAATATTAAATTAGACCTGTGAATTCATAGATATAACTTTTTATAAACTTCTTAGGTGACTTATATTTTCCTATTATTAATTGGATATTTTAAAAAGGAAGAATTGCATGTTTCAGAGCAAAAAATTTGTTTGAATTTGACGTATTCTGTTACCTTCTCAACTCTACATGAATTCCAAAAGAGAGTACTTTGAAATTTAGGATATTCTTAAAATTACATAGTGTACTAAATTCTAAAATGCTTATTATTTCAATTTGAATGTGTGGCGATTATGACTAGAGTGACTTGTAAACAAAGCTGATTGAGAAATAATATGGAATTCATAATTCAAGTGTTCTTAGATTTAGAGAAATAAATCATTTAAGAATTCACTCGATGAAATGATTAGATAACGCATTTGAATTTGGATGAATTAAATGACCTGATACTTAAACCGTCTTCAACATTCAACCGTTTTAAAATCTAAAAATAGTAAAAAGAAGTAATTTAACCAAATGGAAAACTGTAATAATGTTATCATACCACTCGTGTAGAATTGGTCAAACCTATTACATAGACAGCTGATTTTTTTCCTTAAGCAAGATAATGATTTCAGATTTTATTTTTTATCGTAAGCACTAAATTATACCACCAGTTGTAAATGACATGAGCAAAGTCAGTTCGTACTTTCAGTTTCACTAAATACGTTTATTTCGGGGACTACTTATATTTACATATGGACTACTTGTGAATCGGTTCAAAAACAAAAGTTCAAATTACGTGTGTACTCATAACTGTATAACAAACTTCTCGTAACGATTAATTATAGAGACTATAACGGAAGTTGGGTAGACAGAAGTTGAGACAATGGTAGAGCAACGATAGTAACTGGTAGTAACTTATAAGTTTCCGCCAAAACAACAGGGTCGAAGACGTCGCATCCTACTTGTTTTCGTTGTTAGGAAGTAGGTGTCACGGCAGAGACGTCATCCATGGAGCTCCTGTTCAGAATCTTCGTAGTTATTTGTATCCTACGTTCTATTGGACACAACTTTGCAAGTGGTAAGTTCAATTTTGGATTATTACGGTATCAGTGAGAGATTTCATTATGAAAATCACCAGATCCTGACAATGAAAGGTCCTGATGAATGTACGTAGATATGTACGGCAGTGAGACATTACCTTAATATAGATATTTATTGTTAAATGATTTTTAGGTCGGAATTATTTAAATGTTACAATAGAATTATAAACACACAAAATAAAAAGTGCCTCAAAAACAGCTGCGTATTTTTCTTTGAACAAAATAAAAATGCGTTGTAAGTAGTTTGGATATCATTGCACTTCCTTCGATTCTCGTCCATCTTTGAGTAATCTGTATTAAGTTAGTAGTGAAGTGATCACTTTTGTAGTCTACAGATCTGCTGTTAAGCTGACAAGTATACCTTGCAGTATCTGTACTCGTAGTATTATACTAGCATATCACACAATCATATGTTGCAATTAATTTCTAGTGAATTTGTAGTTAGAAACATAGTTTTGTAGAGCTCTAGATATTGCGAATACTGTTTCAAAAAATAAAAAAAAATTCAGACACAAGTAGCTAATGACTAATATTTATTCAAATACTAGCTGAGCCGGCAGACTTTGTACTGCCTCAATCGATAAATAAAAAACCTAAACTACATATAGTTGATTGTTAAATGTCAAATATTACGGTCGCGTTCAGAAATTTAATTTGTGACAAAACTTAAGATTTATCAATCTACATAAAAATAATCTGAAAGATAGTTAACAACTTTCATATTTATTCACCTTTTAAACCTTCTCTGGACTTCCACAAATAATTCAAGACCAAGATTAGCAAAATTGGTCCATCCGTTCTCGAATTTTAGCGAGACTAACGAACAGCAATTCTTTTTTATATATAAAGAAGATTACAGTGCTTATAAGAAAAGCAATCTAACGCACCAAACAACAACAAACAACGCCATTCGTATATAACAATTTAATGGAAAAAACCAAACCAGAGGTGAGCCGGGTTTAGATCCGGTAGCCGGCGGATCCGACACTTTTTTTAGGAGGTGGATCCAGATAATGGTGCCGGGTAATTTTACCAGGGAGAAAAAAGAAAAAATAAACACCAATAATAATAATATAATATATATATATATTTAATATATATATACAAGAAAACGTATATAATAAACATTGGTAATTAAGATTGTACTGCGACAGTTCATTTACCCTAATTTGTATTATTTACTGATTACTATATCAAATTATTTCTTATTTCGATATGGTTCTTATGTTTACTTTTTGTCGTGAACAAGAATACATCAGTATGATCGAACTGTCACTGGCTGGTATGCCAGCTTATTAGTTTGATTTTGTCACCTTCCAGACTTAGAGCGTTTATAAAGATTGTAGGCTCATTTTGAAAGTTTCAATTTAACCGTCGAATTAAGATTTTATTGATTTGGTAATTAAACAACTTTTTTAACGGGGCTTAATAATTGATTTGGTGGTTTTGCCGCGTAAACGGCACAGGTAATGACTCGTACCCAGTTATCCGATATCTAGCAAATCACTATCCGGTGCATTTTTACCTCAAACTATAGAAGCAAAAATAAACGATCACTTAATTGAGAGAAAATTCTTAAATTTAGAAGGATAGATTATAGAGGAAAGCCGAAATATACGAAAAAATTAATAAAATAGGTAGGTGGTGAAAATAGGAGTAGCTACTACCTGTGCAGATGACTTAGTTTTTGGATTTGTTCAGTTGACATGGTTAAAACTTAAAAATAGCATCATCATCATCATCATAAAGTCATCAGTCTTAAGACTGGTTGGACATGTACCTCCACTCTTTCCTATCCTGAGCTAAACTTCGCATTTCCCTAAAACTAGAACAGCCCATATCCTTAACTATTTGCGAAGAGTAATCTAATCTAGGTCTACCTCTACCCCTCCTTACTCCTGTTTCTGCCTCTAATATGTCTCTGACTAGACCTTCATGCCTGAGAAGGTGTCCTACCAACCTCGTCTAGTTTTTATTGACTTCCATAGAGTCCTCTGTTCTCCTAAATAGCAATTTAAAAAAATACAAGGTGTAATTATACAACACGCTACTGAAGTGAAACTTCTTCAAACACACAAACATACCAGGATAGGGGTTAAGGAATTGGTTTAATGGTATTATTTGTACACTATGAATTTAAATTTTACACTATACATGCCGGAGTTGCCTGTAACGAACGTTGCATTGAAGCGCGCTCACGGCTCAAGCGATCCCCACTACGAACTCGACTACGTGGCCGAGTAGAGAGGGGATATCCGTTGCATGGTTCCGTTACATAGCAACTCGCATGAAACGAACTTACCCTATCGTGCGTAAAGAAGTTTCACTTTAACAACGACATGCTACTATGAATAAGCTTTCAAACTAGAAAACTATTGCTTTCCTTGTTAATTCTACCAGCAGGCCATGCAATTTCTCCGGATCAATAGGTTCTTTAAAAGTAATTCTTTCACTACAACTTAGCTATAAAATACAAGTTAGAATCCAACAGTGGCTCAATCGAATATATGTGCTCTTCTAGCATGATATCAATCTAGCAACATACATTCGATTTTCCGGGACCTATAAGTTTAATAAAATTAATTTTTTCCTATCAATTCAGTACAAATTAACTACCAAATATAGTGGCAATTTAAAGATAAATTGACTGAAATGAGTACGTCATCTCCTAGTACAAATTCATCTCAAATTAGCTACAAAACATGATGCATTCTGGAGCCCAAGATTGGCTGAAATGAATATATGTATGAGATCTGTTATCTTGATATTACGCTAGCTGATCATTCAACTTCTCAAAATTTACACTTATTATCATAAGGTAGACAGTCCTATCTATCCTGAGCTAATCTTCGCATTTCCCTAAAACTAGAACATCCCACATCCCTAACAATTTGCGAACAGTAATTTAACCTGGGTCTACCTCTAGTCCTCTTAACTCGTCTGTCTCTAACCATTATGCCTAAGAAGGTGTCCTACCAACCTCTCTCGCCTATTTTTTATTTACTTCCACAGAGTCCTCTGTTCTAGTATTCTTTCTAATACCTCTTCATTTCTAACCTTATCCATTCACGGCATTCTCATCATTCGCCGGTAACACCATATTTCGAAAGCTTGTAACCTTTCCTTTTCCGCCATGTCCACCGTCCATGTTTCGCACCCGTTTAGCGCCGTGCTCCAAACATTCACCTTTAACAATCATTTTCGAACTTGTAAATTAACCGTTCGCGAGCATCGAAGTGACTTCTTTTTATTGTAGGCGACTCGACCCTGCGCTATCCTCTGCTTTATATCCCTACTATTCCTTCCGTCCTGACTTATCTGACTTCCTAGATACCTAAAGTCAGCCACTGCTACAAATTTTTAATCTCCTATCTTTACATTCGTTCTTTCCCTACTTTTTCTTCCCTTAGATACCAGTAGTTTTGTTTTACTTTTATTTATTTTCATGCAATACTGTTTTGTCAATACCGCTTTCATTTTATTTAATGCTATATCCAACTCCTTGCTAGATACTAATACTGCTGTATAATCTCTAAATCTAAGCATACTATTCTTTTTCCACTCTATATCTATACCTACAATTGTAGTCTTTAACATGTTGATCGTGTCTTCAATGTATAAATTAAAAAGTAACGGTGACAGTGTGTATCCCTGTCTCACACCCTTCCTAATATTTACTTCTCTACGTTGTGCTCCAGCCCTATAACTGCCTGTTGCTCTTTTTAGAAACTAAGTATCAGTCTCCTGTCTCTGTAACTCATTCCTACATTTTTGAGTATATTTAACATCTTGTCCCATTAAACATTGTCAAAAACTTTTTCTAAATCTCCAAATCCTATGTAGGCACTCTTAGAAGATAGAAATATCGTTTTATCCATTGTTACCGGTAAAGCTATAATGGCCTTCCGCGTTTCTCTATTTCTTGTAAACCCAAATTGATATTTACCGGCTATTCAAAATTAATTAATTTACTATAATATTATAACAAATTGGGTATAAATTACTCTTGTTTAATAATTATACTAGAAGTAGCTAATGACTAATATTTATTCAAATACTAGCTGAGCCGGCAGACTTTGTACTGCCTCAATCGATAAATAAAAAACCTAAACTACATATTAATCTTTAAGTTATATTGGATTTTCACGGTACATTAAGTACGCTTTTGGAACAATCTTTCAAAACTTATATTGAGAAGGTGTGCGTATTTTTATTACATTAAAATNCCTATACTTTAGCCTCAGCAACATGTGGTGGTTATGCTATTAAAATTGTAGCTTATATGAAACGTTTGGAAGTTTGACATAGCGCCATCTATTGAATGTTGCGATCATAAATTGAGATGTAAGCTATCCTATCTTTGAAGTTGGATCAAACTGCACACGGTGTACAAATTTGATTAAAATCGGTAAAGCAGTTTAGGAGTCCATCGCGGACAAACAATGTGACAGGTAATTTATATATATTAAGATATGGTCTGCTAATATAATAGACATTGTTAAATAAATAATTTCATTATTTTGACATTTAAGAGTAAAAGTAGGAATTTTGTACCTCAATTGATAACTGCTATGAATACCTTAAGGAAACGTATCTGGATTTAGATCAATTCTGTTTTAGTTCTCGAAATAGGTTCTTATATAAAGAAATCTATATTTGTCAGACTTATTTATGTTTGTATTACATGTACAAGTTCCACATATTTATATTATACTTAGTACGTAACATTCTGTTCGATTTATTACTCAAAACTTACTTAAATTCGTAAAAATAACTGCAAATACGATTCAGGGTACAAATCATAACTACAATTTGAATGACACATTTCATTCTCTAATTGACCTAAAATCAATAAACCAAACAATCCCATACTTCATAATAAAGGAATAATTTAATAATCTAAAATGTACAATAGTGTATAGTTAAAAGGAAAGAAAAGACCTCAATTGAACAAAAAAATCACATTTACTACTAA